GTGTGTGTGTGTGTGTGTGTGTGTGTGTGTGTGTGTGTGTGTGTGTGTGTGTGGATAAGTCTGAGTCTGCCCGTGTTGGCATTTTGTCCAGCTGGCTGAGGGTAGCTACTGTGACGTTCAGGAGTGGACTAAGAGTGGCTCTCTTTTTTGTGTGTGTGTGTCTGCTGTGTCACATTGGCTTTAAACAATTGTCACAGTTATTAAGTTCACAGTCACGGGGTCAAGATTGTGTTTTAGGGCCACAAATATCTCTGCTCAAGACAAAGAGGAAAGGAGAAAAMAAATCAATTTATAGATCTTTTTTTTTTCAGCGATGTGTTTTCTTTCCGCTGTCACACACCAGATGTTTCATTCAGTGATGCTTCAACTTCAACATTGATACGATCGTATGGCTTGAGCCACAGGCTACACTGTGTGCACAACATGACGATACAAGACTATCAGAGATGCAGATTGTCTGATAGACAGTTGAGTGCATTTTGGTGTAGTGTTACCAGCACAATAGCACTGGGATCACTTTGTCAAGGGGATTAAATGGATTTACAACTCTGGATTAGAACCTAACCAGCTGGGTACATTTGGGGGGGGGGGGTAGGAGGAGGGAGAGAGAATGAGTAATAGAGAGAGAATGATAGGGGCTTGTTTTAATGGTTCTTGTCAGGTGATACTGCTGTTAAAGATAAGCTMCTTTTCATTGAAAAAAGAAAGGAAGAAATTTCATTCCATGTGGCCCTCTGAAGATTGGATAAAGTTCAGTTCAGGATAAATGGCCACACTACTGAACACACAATTTGCTAAAATGGTTGTGGTGGAATATTTTACCAGCTCACATTCATGGATTTTGTCAGCTTGGTTTGTTACATTATATTAAAAAACTGGCAGTTTGTTACCATTTTGGGTTTAACATACTGAGAGGGTTTTGTATGGTTTGTATTTATTTTTTTTTTGAAATACATTTCTTATGCCAATAAAACTATGCAAACAGGATAGATACACTGCAAAAACWGTCCATCTTACCAAGTTTTAAAATTTTATATTCAGCCAAAACGTCTTTTTGATCTTGTTTTGAGACTGATTTACTAAACAAGAACTGATTGTGTAAGAATAATAACCGTGTTTTCAGAATGTGTAAAATTATTTGTCTTGTTAGTCTGAAAATTTGACTCAAATGAAGTCAAAAATTTCTGCCAGTGTCGTAAAAAAATTTTACTTGGTAAGATTCTTAAAATAAGGAACAACTGAGTCAAATCAAGTATTTCGAGAATATTACCAAGTAAAACTTTCTTACTCCATTGACAAAAAGTTTTGACTTAATTTGAGTCAAATTTTCAGACTAACAAGACAAATAATCTTACACATTCTGAAAACAAGATTATTATTCTTACACAATCAGTTCTTGTTTAGTAAATCAGTCTCAAAACAAGATCACAAATAATTTTTGGCTGGATATAAGATTTTAAAACTTGGTTAGGTGGACATTTTTTGCAGTGTAATTATTGATTGCTCTCATAAATCATGGTTTAATCTGATGACAGGATACCATAGTAAATCAATAATTACCTAAACTATTCCTCAAAACAAAATTTAAATGTAGAACTGAAAGAAAAATATTGTTAAGCATGTTCGTTTACCACTTCATGTGTTTGAACCACACCGAGAACGTACCAATGCTTGGAAATTGAATGTGAAAGAGTTCATAKAACCCACTCAGAGCAGCTCAGTCTGGAGGCAGTTTATTGGTCTGCGTTCAGACCCTGTATTTCCGTAAGTCAGTTCAATATAACAGAAACTTCAGGACATGACTCCGCCTATTTTATTACATCATCAGGATGGGGCCCCTCCCATTGCTCAAGCCGTGTCCTCAGACAATATAATCTGACCTAATGAAGATTAACGGTTCAGTTAAGTGTTGAATGTTCAGGCATGTATCGACATAAAATCATCAATTTAAGCAACATGATCACATTTAACAGATATTACAGTTCTCCTAATAATAAGACTATACCATGTGTAGTGTAATTAAGATCAGTAACCAAACCCCAATAAATTTCTTCAGAACATTAAATTTAAAGGTATAACATTGAAAATTACAACTGAATCTAAAAAAAAAAATTCCAAAACCATAATTGTAATAAAAGTATTATTACTATTATATTTTAAATCATCACTTCAGCAAGTGTTTTTACTCATTTCTCATTTGGTCATTTGCAGATGCCAGTTTCATGCTTGCTTTGTCACAATGCTTTTTTTTTCAAAGCTGTGTGCTTTGTATCATTAACAGAAAAAAATAGATATTTGAAACAGCATGCATGTTTGTGTTTACAACCTATTTATCTAGCAGCCCTGTGATTCTTTGCAAGAAATAAACTGACACCCCGTTTGCACAAATTTTATAACTTTTCTACATCCAGTAAATTAATTCAGCCTATTTGTTTGCATTTTTGTTCCAAAGGGCTTAGATAAATGAGGTACTGCTGTGTTCATTGGGCATATTAAAACATTTTTGTTGTAAATTAAGAAGTCATGTAAACAGGATTGAATCTCACCAAATCACTGTGAGTAAATGCTTGTTTTTTTGTGGACAAAGTGGTGATTTGGATTGCTTTCTGCATGGTGTTTGTTTTGGAAAGGAAACCTGCGGTTATGGTAAGTTTTTGGGTCAACAATAAAATCTCCTWAATGTAGGAACAAACCCTTTCTGAAGAGGTAGGGCTTTATTTTGGTGTAAAAATTGACCCCAGTCTGGTTTGCATGCTGTTAGTGACTGGGATGATTACACCACAAATATAAAATTTTTTATGTGTGAATTGGATGTTGCATGCTAGTGCTTTCATGATTTTTTTTCTGTTTGTCATTTTCAAAAGCAAAATTAAAGAAAGAAATCAAATAAAGAATAACTTTTTTGTTAGTCTTTTTGTTATGTTTTGCATATTATTTTTGTCATTTGTTACAGTTCGACATTCAAACTGACTGAGTTCCTATAATGGGCAGTGCATTTTAGCCTTTATATGTACTAATTCTATTTTTAGTGTGTTTTCAGCCACATCATTTTGTCATTTTTCCTCAACATTAGCAAAATACTTAATTCACCTTTTTGCTATTACTTCACCCACATGCAACTGTCTCTTTTAGTAAAGAGACATAATCTCACGTTCACAAAATGCACAGTTACTTACAAAATTAATGTTCGGGTCATTTCATTTGGCAAGCAATCTCCTTTCCCACTGCCAAAATACTGATCTTGGGATTTGTCACTTTGACAGAATCTTCCTGTTCTGAAACATCAGAGGCTTTACTTCTTGCAGTTATTTTGTTTTTTTTTTTTCCTTCAGTGGATTACATCACACAGGATGGGTTTTAATTAAAAATGGAACATAAATCTGTACATATAATTTATTGAGGCAAATACTAAAAGTTAAATCAGCCAAAAAGAACAGAATGAAGCAGTTAGAAGATGTTACGTTGTTTATTTCCTCATCTTACAATGGCGTTCAATCAGTACTATTTACACAAAATGCCAGATTTAAGATCCATTTTTTTATATTTAATCAGTGCCGCAGGTTCAAACCTGTCCTGTATACTAGGTCAGGTATTACCAGAAAGAAAGGGTGGGGGGACACAAATTGTTACAGACCTGTATTTCCTAAGCAGGGTTTACAGTAGGTCACTTGCATGTGATGTTTAATGCCTTGCATGGTGACAACATGCAATGGCCAGTACTCGTCTGCATGCTGCTTAATGAATATCTTCCTTTCTCTCTCTTTGCCTGCCTGTGCATCCAGAAGACAACTATACTGAAGGTGGGTATTTTCATCGTCCATTGGAACTCCATCTAATGCTCTCATAGCCCAGGCTTCTCAGATAAATGTCAACAAATGTTTTTTTGTGAATGGTGATGGTGCTGTCGGAACTGGACTGGTAAGTGTGATAAATTCTTGAGTTTCTTCCAAAAGTATTTTTCATATTAAATTGGTTTATTTAATTTTTATTTGTCTTAAAAATCATAACCAAAGTATTTACTTAGATATTATAATGGAATTTCCATATACCGTATAAACATAACAAAAACTAATAAAAAGTAAAGATTTAAGAGGATAAAAAATTTTTGCGACAATAAGCTAAAATAAAATACATATATTTAATTTAATACATTTATTTTAAAATCCCTGATTTTAATAAATGCAGAATTCTGCTTATTTCACTGCTGATCCAGTTTTTCAGTTTTGGGAGTGCAGAGCGTTATTGTTATTCGTTGGAAGACAGAGACCTTACTTTTTTTGCAAACGTTTTACACAAAATGAGCTCATTATTCACAAGAACAATCACTATTCTTCCATTAAAATTCCTTGTAGACTGGTTGTAATTAATGTTAAGCATCAATCCAACGACAATGGACAAGGATGAACAAGAAGCTGCATACCTTATAAAACTTATTCACACTTTTAAGCTTTAATCTCCTGATGTTTCTCTTTTTATTTTAATAAAAAAAAAGAGCCACTTACCAATAAAAGCAGTGATGTTGGTGCCAAACTATAAAATAACTTGTGGTTAGCTATAACTATTAAAGAAATCTGCTGGGATGGTCTTACAGAGGTGAAAGGTCAACGTGAATTTCAGTTTCTGACTGCTGTGTAAGTTGCTGATGATGCATCGCGACCTGCTCGGGTTGACTCGATGCTCATCCTGTTGACCCTGTTTGTTTGTCCTCCTCTTGATCTCTACCCCACTTTCTTCCCGTACCCCGACTCCCCTTATCGTAACACAGACATCTACTCTGAAAGAGATGCCTGCATGTCAGTGTGACACAGTTTCCCGTGATCCCTTGTTCTCTGCTGACTGTGCTCTTGTTTTCCTTTAAGGTCTGGCACACCTGATGATGGGCGACCAAGGTATGGGCTCTGTTCCTTTTCCCGTCATTCCTCCATTGATCCCTCTGCTTCTGTTGCGCTAAGAAATGTGTTTGTCACTAACTCCTGTGCAGGCTTGAAGCTTCAGATATGGGCTGCTGTTTCTCTTATTTTGAAGGACTTTTCTTGACTTTCAGTCTTTATTTTTTTCACCTGGCTCTCGAGTCCATGCGCCGCTGAATAGCCATGCCACTTCTTTCCATAAGTTCTTTCTTTTTAATTATTCACATTTACGGTACTTACTTTGCTGTATGGGTGGTGATTGAAGTAAAGGGAAACTTGCATTAGTCTTGTTTGGATGTAATACATGGCGGGTGGAAAATAGCTTCCTGACTTTTTAAGCTAATCCTCATCTGAACTCATTTCTGTAATGCATGCTGAGAGCATCTGCACAGATGCTTTGTCCAGACATCCTTCCATTTGTGTGGAACTGTATATTCTCATGGTGCAGCAGAGCAGGGATGTTTTTCTTTTCTTTTTCCACTCCACAATATAGCCTTCCATTTGTATTCACACATATTTGTAGCCATCAAGCCTRTCTCAACTGTCCTATGTCCTCTAATGTGACAATGACACTTATCGGTGTCTCCTCTTCCTCTGTTCCTCCCTTCTGTTGTCTGGAATCTGCTTTCTTCATGGAACATTTCATCAAATCTCATAGGTAAAAGTAAAGGTACTACATTTTTATTTTATTTTATTTTATTTTTCAAAATTTATTGAACTTTTCTATAAGATTAGTGGCTTTATATACTRGTGTTTGAACGATGTATATAAAGCCATCGGCATTTAGTTTTTTTCCAAGTTTCTTTTTCAACAAATAAAAATAAAAAGTTTTTAAGGTAGGTGCTGCTCTTGCTTTGCATTCACACGRCCAAGCTGTGTCACCTGTCTCTCTTTTCTGCTTGATGCATGGGAACCATGAATTAGACTCATTTAGATGTATGAATGCAATAGATGCTGCCCTAGTTTAAGCACACAACCTGCACCCGCAGGGTAATTACACTTCATTCTTTTTTTTGGAACTCATGGGTTTTTGAAATTGCTGGTGAGGCTTGATCATAGTGTTTTGGGCCTCTCATCCTGGCTGTGATCCTCACCTCTTCTCTCTGTGGGGTAAGTGGACTTCTGATTTTTCCCATTTGACTCTCCTCCTCAGGGCAGAGAGGGACACCTTGGCTTGTAAGGTCCCTGCTGAGCATACAAGGTAAATCTTTGATTCTTTCATGTTAACTACTGCAGTAAATCTAAATTGATCAGGTCTGCATATAGTAATGCTGTTAGACTTCAGTGTCTATGTGTGAATGGCCATTTGTAGAATAACCTTTAACGATGCCCACAGAGCTACTTTTAAAAAGTAGTGATGGTCACTGTGGCATTTAGGTAACCCATTTCCATTTTGAGATCARTTTCTATTTGATTTTGTTTCTTATGGCTTTGTCACCAGCTTTAGTTTGAACCAAAGCTTTTGTCATTTAGCAACTTTATGCAATATACAGTGGTGGGCAGCGCTAACTCAAAAATTAGCTCCACAATTTCTGAATCGCTTATATAAATATTTAGGTCCGCAACTTCAGAAACGCTTATGCCATAGAAAAATTAGCAGAAGCTAATTTTAAAGTGCAAGTTCAATTYGACACTTAATAGCTAGCAACAATTCATGTACAATATATGTACAACACTGCCAACTGTATGAACCCTTGTACAGTTTAATACTACAAGTGCCAATTGATGGGGATGTGATTTCATGAAACAGAACTTTGGCTCCTGGTGTAAAAATAAAAAAGTTGTTGAGGATTGCTAGTTCAGCTGCTTCTTTGTATTTTTCTTTTGTTTGTTGTAGATTTTTCATTAAAGAAGCATCAATAAAGCAATTTTAAAACTGTTTATTGGAAAACTGAAGCGATGCATTCTGGGTACATGATGGATTTGATTTGTGACGGGAAACAAAAGTTTTCCATGTAGTTGCTCTAGTTGACCACTAGATGTCTGTCTAGCCCCGTTGGCGGCTTGCTTCGACCAATTACGTCAAGTGTTGAGCTCCAGCGTTTAAACTTTCTTTTTTTAAAAAAGGAGCTCCGATTGTAAAGTAAAATAAATCAATGCATACAAAATTTTAGTATGGATTACAAACGTTTACTGTTTTTGCTGGGAAAGGGAGTACTAAACTTTGTCTTCTTGCTATGTAAGCAGACACAAAGCATTGTGGGAAATCAGAATGTGACCGAGAGCAACAGTCAGCAAGGATGTATATGTTTCCAATAAGTGTGTTTATCTAGGAGGGGTGCTGTTGGACAGATCACGTGTGTTGTGATTCATTGACAACCATATCTTTCGCTGTTCAAGATAATGATGACTGGTAGATAATTGGTTATTAGRGGCACTGCATTTTAATTTTAGAAAGCGCAAATCCGCTAATGAATTATAAAAATTAGTAAGACCGCTAAAGCGCAAACAAAATATTAGCAATTAGCAGATTTGCGCTTTAGTGGACTGCTGCCCACCACTGGCAATATACATGTTATACTGTATCTGTTCATGCAAGCTTGAAGCATCATTTCAGCAGGTAAGTTTTCACTCGATGTACTCCATGAGAAATGCTTTGTGTTTGTGTTTTCTGACATATATCGGATTTCTGCTGCTCTGAATTTTAACAGCCAATTCATGGTTTCTGCATTTGTGCACGCTGTGAATTTTATTAACCGGACCAGTTCATGGAGCAGAGGTGACGACTCCTCAAGTGATTACACTTACTGCCATCTTCCTGCCGGCATGTGATTTATTGATAAGAAAACATTAGTCAGTACGGTAACCTCGGTTCTCTGAATGCATGCTTGGCTTGGCTAGAGTAGGCTGTGCAGGAAGATTGGCCTTTTTTTTTCCAAAATCAATTAAATCATAAGGATTTTGATTGCTTTTATTTGGATGCAACAAGCAGGAGTTTCTCTATTTGAGGCACTTATAGTGTCCATGATCAAAATGTGTTGACATTACACACTGATAATTCAGACCGCCTCGTGCTGAAATTGCAATAGAAATTGAGGTTGCCCACACAACCTCTTGAGTCCAAGGATTTGGATGAGGAAACCATAAATTGGCACCGGAGTTGGGTGATATATAGAACTACATGCGTATGATTTGCACACATAAACATTCACACAATCATCTCATCAGAGGGCTGATTTATAGACAGCTGCTGCAGATAGCCGAACCACAATCAAAGCTTAGCTTGCCTTATGTGGAGCTTAGACTTCTTACTGAGCATAGAGATTTTACACACATAAACACTGCAAAATAAAACCCAGTTGTGTCATCCTCTAAGGTAAGTGGGATTGTTTTTCTCAGCTCTTCTCCCTGCTTATTGTTTTGAAAATGGATGCTTACATTTTTTTTTTGCATTAGACATACAGCAGATGTGTTTTTTTATTTTAAAAGCAAAATGACTTCCATGGATGACTTCAAAAAACGAGATTTTATTTTGCCGCCGTCAAGTTTTGACAAATCCTAATAAACCATTTGTGAATAGCTGCGTTTCCAGTGACCATGAAAATGCACAAATTAGAAATTCGAAAATAAATTTGCTCAATGGAAACACATCAATTTTGAAAAAAAAAAAATATGTTTTTCGACCAAATGTTTTTGCACTAGGAAGAGGTGGCTTTTCGGCCGTTTCGAAATTGGTGTATTTCGCAAAACTGCAATGGAAACCCTTTTTTCGCATCACGGGAGTCACGTGATCAAGAACCGGCTGTTTCTACTGGTGAAAAAGACGAAGAAGAAGATAACAGGAAGTAAAAGTAGTGGTAAAATCACCGAAGTTGTAAAAGAAAGTATTAAACTCATCGACTACATTTTCCCAAAAATACAGCATACGTAGCCACTCCCAAGTATTAGGGGCTTGTCACTCCAAAGCCTCGATAAGACGCCGATGTCTCCTCTGATGATGAGCGCTAGTGTCGTGATAGCAATATGCTATGTGTTTACATCTATTGCCGCCATGTTTGTAATGACTTCTCGCGAGAACAAGCATATTCACGTGTGACTTTAATAGCATTTCTTACTTAATGGAAACACTGCAATTACGAAACTGTGTTTTTTCGACATTAACAAAATATCGACAAAGTTTTGCACACATTTGCAATGGAAACGCAGCTGCTGATCTGTTGTGTCAAAACTTGTTTGGCATTTGGTAAATATTTCTAGCATGGCAATGACTGCTTTCTGTAAGGTAAATGTACACAAACAGGTTCATATGGATTCAAACTACATAACCTGTATGAAAAGGGATTTTTTTTCCCATTTGTTTTAATTATTTACCCAAGTGAAAAAGTGTCAGTTTTGTTTTCACCACACTTTAGGCTGAATTGTGTTTTTCTTATCTGTACTGTAAAGTTTTCCTCCACCTTGTAACAAACACCTAACTTGTGGAAAAGCCACAGGGAGAGAGTAAAGTAACAGTGATAAGGCACAAATCTGCCATACATGCTCCACTGCTTCTAATTTGGGCCTCGGTAAGATGTCCCCTGAGCTTTACAGTGCAAAACACCCGCTCAGTCCAGTAAATGTAGAGTGTGGTCATAAACACGTATCCCCACATGAGTGTTAAAACTGGAAGTGGTGACCGAGCCTGTATTCATTGTCCGCTTTAACGCTGGGAGATTTTTGTGTATTGTTACCCCTGCCAAGGTTCTCCTGTGTCGCGTTAACCACTTGTTTGGTTTATCCTCTGTTTGATGGCGAGCCCTTTGAGGACATGATTTTATGTGTGGCTGCTTTCAGCTGACACACCAACAGTGTGTTTCTCAAAGCTTGTTCCCGTCCTGGCTCTAAAGAGCAGGACACACACAGGGATAAGTCAGAATACTACTGGCGCACAAATCGCTCGGGTATTTAATTGATGTCATCACACTAAACTGCCATGTGCGGCTTAAGAGGAACTACAGCTTGTGCAGACAGGCTTACAGGTAAAACTGGGCTGTTTCTAAATTAGTGTACTTCATAATGTAATTGCTTTCAGTTTCTAAACATGGAAAGTGTCCTTTTCATCACGCGGTGCGCTTTCCAGGGGATTTTCCGCGAGGTGCGCGGGTGAACTGGTTTGCCATTGTGTTTGTGCACGTTGTGCTACATTTTCCACGTCAAATGAAATAGATGTTCCAAACGCAACGCTCCTTTGCACGTTTACGTTGCAGAAACCTGGCACATCAGAGACTTAAGCGGTTGTCACAGATTTAGAAAGACTGCGAATGCCTTCAAATTGTAGCTTCCTGTCATAGACGGTTTACACGTGAGCTGACGGGGGGAAACGGAATATGAAATTATGAAACGTGAATCTTTCACAGCCATTATGGGAGCTAACAGGGTGTGAAAATTAGTCATGTTCTCACATGTGCAACTTGGCTGTGGGTTGTGTGTGTTAGCAGTAAATGTCAGTACAGTTGAAACAGGGTTTATGTTTGTGTTTTATCAGCAAGCTGCACAATGCAGGGGCATCGTCCTCATTATTTTTTAAATATTGGTTTATTAGTACTTTTAGAATATAATATTAAATGCCTACATTGCAAAGAACATGCAGTACAATATATTCAGAAAGTAATACATAAGCTCAGCTCATTTTTGAGTCTCACTTAATTCAGTGCATGTTCCTTTAACCTTGAGGAGGGAGCTCTGTTGTACGAAGTTGTGCTTATGTTTGTACTTGTTATGGCATGGTGCAGTGATGGATAGTACTTAAGGTGGGATTCAGCACAGCTCAGTGAGTAAGTGACATTGGAGTGTGTTCAGGTCAGAAAAAAAGTCAGTGAAAAAGCTTTGCTGGAAGCACCAAATGTGATATTTAACCTCTCACTTTCTTTAAGATAAGTGCATTAAATTTTTTTTCCAAATTAATGCAAAAGTTGATGATCTTTGTTAATGAAAAAAAGAAATTAAAATAGGCCCAACATGCWGTACTACAACTCGTGTAGTAAAAATAACATTTTCTTGATTTTGGAGTAATTTATTTTAAAAAATGTGTATTTAATTTTGTCTCAGCAAATGCAACATGATCTGCTTGAARACAACCCTGTTACCTGTGTTTGTGGCCATTGCTTTAAGTGACTGAGTGTCTAATTCTGGCAACTGTGGGATCAAGTTGTCGAAACTGGAATCATCTAAGACATTTGAATATGCATCACTTTAAGCAGAGCTAAAACCAAAATTTTCTAT